GGAGGATGGACGCCCGCTTCACCCGGGGGAAGTCCCCCCTCCTGGAGCGAGCCCTGGGCCGGCCCCGCACCGAGGTGAGCCTCAGCGCCTTCGCCCTCCTCTTCTCCGAGCTGGTGCAGTACTGCCAGAACCGCGTCTACTCGGTGGCCGAGCTGCAGGCCAAGCTGGCCCGCTTGGGCCACCAAGTGGGTCTCCGCGTCCTGGACGCCTTGGTGGCCCGGGAGAAGAGCGGACGGCGCGAGACCAAGGTCCTCAACGTCCTCCTCTTCGTCAAGGGCCCCGTCTGGCGGGCCCTCTTCGGGAAGGAAGCCGACAAGTTGGAGCAAGCCAACGACGACGACAAGACCTACTACGTCATCGAGAAGGAGCCCTTGGTCAACACCTACATCTCGGTCCCCAAGGAGAACAGCACCCTCAACTGCGCCGCCTTCACCGCCGGCCTGGTGGAGGCCGTCCTCACCGCCAGCGGCTTCCCCGCCAAGGTCACCGCTCACTGGCACAAGGGCACCACCCTCATGATCAAGTTCGAGGAGGCCGTCATCGCCCGGGACAAGAGCCTGGAGGGGCGCTGAGGGGGGGGGGGGCGGGCCTCGGCCTCCCGCGGGGACGCTGGGGTCCCTTCGCATCCCTGGACACCATCCCTTGTCCCTCCTGAGGGCCCGTGTCCTCCCCTGGGGACGCTGGGGCCGGTTCGGGTCCCTCACCACCGTCCCTCGTCCCTCGCGGTGGCCCCTTCCCTCCCCTGGGGACGCTGGGGCCGGTTCGGGTCCCTCACCACCGTCCCTCGTCCCTCGCGGTGGCCCCTTCCCTCCCCTGGGGACGCTGGGGCCGGTTCGGGTCCCTCACTGCCGTCCCTCGTCCCTCGCGGTGGCCCCTTCCCTCCCCTGGGGACGCTGGGGCCGGTTCGGGTCCCTCACCACCGTCCCTCGTCCCTCGCGGTGGCCCTCGGTGTCTCTCGGGGACACTCGGGTTGGTTGGTGTCGCTATAAACCATCTCTTGTCCCTCCTGATGGCCCGTGTCCTCCCCTGGGGACGCTGGGGCCGGTTCGGGTCCCTCACTGCCGTCCCTCGTCCCTCGCGGTGGCCCCTTCCCTCCCCTGGGGACGCTGGGGCCGGTTCGGGTCCCTCACCGCCGTCCCTCGTCCCTCGCGGTGGCCCCTTCCCTCCCCTGGGGACGCTGGGGCCGGTTCGGGTCCCTCACTGCCGTCCCTCGTCCCTCGCGGTGGCCCCTTCCCTCCCCTGGGGACGCTGGGGCCGGTTCGGGTCCCTCACCACCGTCCCTCGTCCCTCGCGGTGGCCCCTTCCCTCCCCTGGGGACGCTGGGGCCGGTTCGGGTCCCTCACCACCGTCCCTCGTCCCTCGCGGTGGCCCCTTCCCTCCCCTGGGGACGCTGGGGCCGGTTCGGGTCCCTCACCGCCGTCCCTCGTCCCTCGCGGTGGCCCGTGTCCTCCCCTGGGGACGCTGGGGCCGGTTCGGGTCCCTCACCGCCGTCCCTCGTCCCTCGCGGTGGCCCCTTCCCTCCCCTGGGGACGCTGGGGTCCCTTCGCATCCCTGGACACCATCCCTTGTCCCTCCTGAGGGCCCGTGTCCTCCCCTGGGGACGCTGGGGCCGGTTCGGGTCCCTCACCACCGTCCCTCGTCCCTCGCGGTGGCCCCTTCCCTCCCCTGGGGACGCTGGGGCCATTTCGGGTCCCCCCCCACCGTCCCTCGTCCCTCGCGGTGGCCCTCGGTGTCTCTCGGGGACACTCGGGTTGGTTGGTGTCGCTATAAACCATCTCTTGTCCCTCCTGATGGCCCTCGGCTCTTGTCTGGGGGGGGTTGGGGACATCCTGGGGCTGGTTTGGGTCCCCAGACACGGTCCCTTGTCCCTCCTGATGGCCCTTGGCCTCTCCTGGGGACACTGGAGTCAATTTGTGACCCCCAACACCCACCCTTGTCCCTCTTGGTGGCCTTTCGCCTCCCTTGGGGACACCGGGGCTGGCCCAAGGCCCTCATGGTGGCCTTTGGCCTCTGTTGGGGACACTGGGGACTACTTGGTGTCCCTCACCACTGTCCCTTGTCCCTCGTGATGGCCCTTGGCCAACCCTGGGGACACCGGGGCCAGCTGGTGTCCCTCAGTGCCACCCCTTGTCCCCCCCGGTGGCCCTTGGTGTCTCTCAGGGACCTTCAGGCTGTTCCCTGTCCCTCCTGGTGTCCCTCGGCTCGTCACTGGGGGCTTGGGGACACCCCGGGGTGGCTCCTGTCCCTCCACAGTGGCACTGTCCCCTCCGGGTCCCTCGGGGGCTTTGGGGCTGCGGTGGGGACAGTTGGTGTCCCCAAACTCTGTCCCTTGTCCCTCCTGGGGACGTGGGGTGTCCCCTGTCCCTTTGGGGACGATGGGGCTGGTCCGTGGGGACATGGGGTGTCTCCTGTCCCCCTGGGGACAGCAGGGCTGGTCCTTGGGGACACCGGGTTGTCCCCTGTCCCCTTGAGGACACCGGGGCTAGTTCTTGGGGCCATGGGGGTGTCCCCATGTCCTTGGGGACACCGGTCTGGTTGATGGGGACAGCGGGGTGTCCCCTGTCCCCTTGGGGACATCAGGGCTGGTCCCTGGGGACACTGGGCCCTTGGGGACCCGGAGGCCACCCCCGGGTGACCCTGCTGTCACGCGCCGGGTGGCCGCATCCTGTCCCCCTGTGTCCCCCCGAAGCTGCACTGGCACCCGGGCGGTGGCCACCGCGGTGGCACGTGTCCCCAAGGCGGGGAGGTGATGTGTGTCCCCAAGGGGGGG